TAACCGGCACACTAACATGGACTTGTGAGAAATGGCAAATGCTAAGCAATTGAGACTATGATTACGGCATCCCTTTTCATAGTTCTGAAATTGTTTAGACACACATGTGAGCTATCTACGAAAGGTGTATGAATCTAAATTTTAGAAGTCCAAGATTTCTGAATATGTCAAGCTAGTGGGAGCATAAGTGTTATGCTGATAATCATCATGTTAGTGGGAGCATGATTATTACGTTTAGTGTTGCAAGTTAGCAATGTTAATTATAGAAAACAAAGTTTCAATTCGTGAAGTTGCAGGGGTTGAAAAGTTGTTTTGCTATAATTAAGGGAGAGGAAATTATACTTCATTTCAATTCTAGAAGCTTAGATTGAGATTTTAATCATCTTTAGTCAAGGACATATATATGAATTTTATGTCTGAATGGTTCGACTTAAGGAAATTCTATATATATTGCGTTCTCAAAATTCAATTATGACTACGGCATCCCTCTTCATAGTTAAATTTTGAAAACATGGCAAATAAAAAATATTGTAGCAAAAGACTGGTCTAGTATCATGTCTTTATGTGAGACATCATGAATCGTGTCCCATATGCTTCGGATATAGGATCGATTTCATGTGCTATAATATTCATCTTTCTAAATTTTCCAAATGCTCAGGCATTTAGAAGGGAAAAGTCTAGAACTGGATATGACTAAAGTGATTAAGCAATTGTCGAGGACAATCTGAGGTTTGCCAAAGATTGGTTGCTCAGGGACATTTGGAAGTATAGTGTTAATTTTGGCAGGACCATATTGACATTTCTGAAAAGAGTAACTCTTGTTCGGAAGTGATAGTCAAAATGGGACTATGGAAATGTCTCCATAGGTGGAAGTTATTCAATCTATGTAAGATTAGAAAACCTTAATGCAAGAAGGATGTTCAAAGCAATGTACTTTGAATATGAGACTTCGTTCCATAGAAGTTGACCTTCTTTGGAATACTCTGTAATGACTGGTGACAAGGTTTTGGTGACTTTGTGAATAATCATTACAAGAGGAACATTGCATAAAAGTTTAAAATCTAACAGATTTTTTGGTAAATGATAGGAATCGGGGATTCTCACATTTACAATAAGGATTTGGGATTGTGAAATGAGTATCATTGGAATCATGTTCAATTGATCTACATCACAATGTAAGGATCATAGACAAACATAGTGTGCATACTTGGAGTATGGCATAACTATTGTTTAGAAAAACAAAGTGTACATGCTAGGAGCATGGGACGACTGTTGTTTTTATTCAAGTCTTAAGTTGATTGTTTGAAACATTATACAATGAATAATGTGTAATCAATATGGTGATAAATAAAAGGTGGTTCTATTTATATTCAAAAGGGTTCTGAGACCATATTGGATTCGATTATTATTGTGTTTCACTTTGCATGTTTTGACTTCCAAAATAGCTAGGTTATTCTTTCCGAATGACTAAGTTATTTAAACACTCCACAGTCGTTCATATGTTGGAAGTAGGTATGAATCAAGACTGTCATGAATCGAGTTTGTAGATGGCTAAATGGGTTTAGTCATAGCAATGGTTGCTACAACATTCATGAGTGCTCATAAGTTATGAGTATTGGAATAAACCCACGCTCACTTGTATCACTTCATGGAATTTATCTCGAGTGATCGTGAGACGGTAATATCATATAAATCTTCAAACCTAGAGATATGAGTTGTTACCTATGAGTTGGTTGTGCATTGATTGCACGTAAACGCATCAGTAACTTGATGTTATAAAACGTGCCTTTGTGTACAATTCAACAAGTAGTAGAACAAGTATATGAGTCGAAGTTTATCTGTTCCTTCTAGAAATAGAAGCGATATCTGGGCCCCTCGATGATTTTGTTGTGACCTATGTACCGGCCGGTCAGAACTAAATTGATGTGTTCGATTAAGTTCTTTGTCAAACAAATCGAAATCGGGAAACAAACTGCTGGACAATAAGTACGACATTGTTCCATGTATTTGTCCGGCTGATATCATGAGAACAGAGGATTATATGATCACTTATCTAAAATGGCGCTTCATAGTTCAACAGAGTTTTCGAGAGCTACGATTGCTGGTTGGTTCCTGAAGTAACATACGCAAATATAGTTATTAGACTTATCCAAGTGGGAGTCTGTTGGATAAGGTGTCTAAGTCCATAACTTATTTGGTATATACTTGACCCGACCCGGCATGGTCCATTTGGGTTGCATTTCATCCAAACTATTTATGGATAATTTTATGAGAGTTATACACATATGATTATTAATATATTATAAGTTATAATATATTAATATGAAGTCATGTTATTTAATTAGTCTTAGTCTTAAATTAATTATGAATTAATTTAGAGATTAAAAGGAAGACTAATTAATTGTGGGCTATTGTTTTATATGGTGTGGGCTAATACTCATTAGTTAATGGGCTAGGCTTATATGGAAGTCCATGGATGATCCATGGAGCTTTTAACCCATGGATCCTTGGAAAAGGAAAGGTCATGGGTTATTAGGGTTTCACCCTAATCATGTACACTATATAAGCATGCTTATGTTGCATGAAATAGCCACTAGTGTAACTAGTATGTGTGTTTGTGTGTGACCGATTTTATAAGTGTGTATACACTCTCTCAAAGTTTTCCAAGAGTTTGTGGTGATTTGTGATTCCATTTGAGGCATTCACACTATTGGTGCTTGGCCCTCAAACTCCAACGAATCAAACTCATCATCAAAAGGTATGTAATCTTATCTAATTCTTTTATGTTTAAAAGTACCCCATGCCATGTTAGATAGGTTATGAACCTTGGAAAAATTATTATTTTGCATGTATTTAGACAAACATAGATCCAAGGTTTATTAGGATTGCATGCACACTTAGGAAATGTTAGATTGCTCAAAACCCAACAAGACCCAGCTTGGTTATCAGACAACACACTAAAAGATTTGAATAGAGATGTGTAGTCAAACAACCAATCAGGACCCACCCTAGCACCCGTTTCATTCTCTTCCAGCCAATGTACATCAGAAGATTCCACGATTTTCTTTGTTTTCTTATTGTATACCCTATAAGCAGTACGAGCAGTGTATCCGACAAAATAGCAGTCATCAGCTTTTGCATTGAACTTTGGGTTGGACTCCAAATTAAGGAGGGTGCAAGGGAAACCAAATACTCTGAAATAGTTGATAGATGGCTTGTATCCATATAGAATATCATATAGAGTTTTCATCTGGGCTTTGTTGATAAGGATACGATTTTGAACATAGCAAGTAGTGTTGATCGCCTCTGCCTAAAATAAAACTGGAAGTTTAGAATCACATAGCATCGTCCTTGCTGCATCTTGTAACGTTCGATTCCTCCGCTCAGCAACCCCATTTTGTTATGGTGTTCGAACAGAACTAAACTGACGCACAATACCCTTCTCAGCGCAAAAATGATCAAGAAAAGCATTCTTGAATTCTGTTCCATTATCTGTGCGTAGTGCTTTCACCATACGAATTTCGGTTGATGCTGAGAACATTAACCGGACCAAACAAGTCCATATGCAACAATTGGAGCACCTCACTGATGGAGTTGACCTGCTTTGCCAGATGTGGCTTTCGATGATTTTTTTGCTTGATCACATGACACACATTTTTCAAAAGTGATGAAGTCTCCGACGGGTAGACCACGAACCATTTCGTTTTTGGAAAGACGGTTCAGATTCTTTACATTTTCATGGCCAAGTCGACGATGCCACAACATAGTGTTTTGTTATGAGACTTCTGAAAAGAGACAAGTGACTTCATCGGGTATGTTGTTGTTCATGTCAATGATGTAGGCATTCCCATCCCACTTTGATTTGACAAGAATCCACTCTTCTGGGATGACAATGCCAGGCTTTAAGATTAAACATTCCTTATCGGTGAAGTGTGTCGAATAACCCTTGTTGCAAATCTGGGATACACTTAACAGGCTGTGCTTTAACTCGGGAGCATAATTGACATTATCAAAACTAAGCACTCCGTTAGTCATCGTTTAGAGAGTTAATTAGATGATACATGCATGAATGAATGGTTAATTTCCATAAAAATTGAGGTTTTGAGGTTTTTCAGAGAGAGGGAGAAAAGATTTTGGGTGTTCGGTCGATTTCAGGAAGTGAATAGAAAATGGGTTTGACCGCATCCACCTTTTATACTTCTCTTCTAAAACCCAGTAACGGGCTGCCATTTAACCCAACACTCCAATACAATCTTCCTTTATTTAAAAAAAAATATATTTTAAGGACTAAAAAAATTAAACTCTAGAAAATAAAACAAAATAAAATAAAACTAATTCCTAAAGCTAGAAAAATAAAGTAAACTAAATTAAAATAAAAATTTGTAAAACAGGGATCAAGGTTGTTGGACAGTCATAATTCAGATACCAATTGTAAGTCCCAATCTTATAGATCCAAATCAGTGATCAATTTAAATGCAAGTTCAAATAGAGTATAGAATGAGTAGAATAAGAGTTAATTCAAGCATGCACCCATCTATAACACATAAATGTCAAGTACACCTTGGGAAACACACAGTTACGTCACCCTTACACAGACACAGACACTTACTATTTATACCAACACACAGCAGTACACAAATGTATAGCTGCACACATACGTGTACGGCCGTACATACGTGTGCGGGCGTACACATCCACAGTCAACATACAACCACCAAAATCCTCTAAAGCCCTACCAAGATCTATACATCACAATGCCTAGCCCAAACCACAAAATCATAGCCCATCAATCTCCCCCGTGGTTTGAGGCTAGCATAGACTTGGTTGTCATTCTCCAGGATTCTCGAACAGCTTCAGGTCGGATTTTCCCATGGATCCCATCCATAGCTTTCCATTAATGATTGTGGCGACCATTCCTGTGAATTCCTTGGTGGAAGCCTCCATGACCTCTTTTGTGCAAATGATTTGGTGATGAGTATGGTGATCGCTCAGGGATCAAAATGTGGGCCTTTGATCACGAGGTAAACATGTGGTTCGTAAAGAGAAATTCTGGAATTCTTGAATACTACCAGAGCATCCATGATTTCAACTCATGGACGAAAGTTGATATTATCGAACTCTCAAGGGCCCCATTTCACAATCCTTCACAGGATCCCAGTGCGTCTAACTTCAAATTATTTCTAGACAAGCAGGTCAGGGAAAACTTCTCAAAGATGAAAACTGCAAAAGCCCTGTATAGAAAAGATAAGGATGTTATTGATCCTGAATCTGGTGAGCCAATGAAGATCATACTGTGGCCAGCAACAAAACAATGTAAGTCCTCAAAATTGCTTGTGTATCAATCAGATCCAATTGATGGTGCGGAATCCCAATCAATCGGATGATGCCAGATCAATATAGAAGAGAAAGAGAAGAAGAATAATAAGATTCTTGATTGCATTGATGATATGAATGAAGTTCCTTACGATAGATTCTCTCTCACACACTCTTCTTCTCTCTAGTTTCTCTCTCCTAAAACACCTTGATTTTCACACACTTAAACTCCTTTTAGCCATACACTCATATGCACTCCTCACCCTATATATATATGAGACAAGGGCCACCAGCCGCACACCCTGTGTACGGCCGTACACACCTATAAAATTACCGAAAAATACATTTTCTAGAAAAGTAAAGTATAAACCAAATTTATAGACCCAACAATAGTCTTACATCACTTTCACCCTAGCTTCTACCCTGGATACCTGGATGGTTCTCCCCCACTTGGATTCAACTAAGTACGCTCGTCACACGAGAATTGAAGGATTACAAATCCTCATTACGTTCCAATGTTTACCTGGCTGACTACCGGTGCTTATCAAAGCTAGAACACCGTGAATAACCCTGCCCACACAGCACACTACCTGAAATCCTGCTAACACTTCTTGTATCCCAACTACATCAATAACTTCAAACGCTTAAAAGAGACATCACGCTCAGATCTCAGAGTCCAACAAATGGATAGTCTAACCAAAACCTCCCCGAAAACTCTCTCTTCCCCCAACAATCCTGATGGCCTCTCCAAAACATAAATACTAAGTCTACTGAAAACTAGCCATACTCCCTCGTTCAAGCCCTTGAACCAACCCCAAGAATGGTTGGAGCAGGTACACTCACCGCTCCTCCCTGATCGTCCGAAAGTCGACCTCCTTGTCGTCCATCTGAACACAACGAAATATAACAGGCTTGCTCCCTATGGTAATCCCTGAAGACGTGGCTAAACCTGCTACACCCGTGGCAACCCAGATCACTGAGCATATTCCGAAATTAACTCGGAGTAATCATGGTGCATGCGGAATCCTCTCCGCGAGATACATATGTCCAAAGATCTCTAAAAGATTCCTTGACATGTTGGATGGCATCTGACAACCCTAGCTAACACAGAAAATAGCAAAAAACCGACCTGAGATCCAAACTATCACAATTTCCCTAAGCGATAGAAATACCCGACATCTACCAAAAATGGCCGAAGGTAGTATATCCGCAAACATCCGAATTTTTTTTGACCACCTCCTCTTGAGATACATCGACCACCCTGAGAACATGATGTAGTACCTCATTTCGATCCCAATGACAGTCCAAACCCTTGGAATGAAACTTCATCGCGCAGTTCTGCAAGCGTTGCACTGGATCCAACCATGTTGGCCTCTCAAAAGCTGATCCAAATTCTTGGGTTTCCGCTCGAGATCCTCCAATAAATTCTCCTAACCTGAACCTCTCTCATGAGGTACTCCTAATCAATCTTCCATCCTCGACTCTGAGATCCATATCATTTAGGTTCTCGCACCCTGATCCACTTACAAGCTTAATCGTCACGACTATACTACAATAGATAGAGCAATCTCTGCTCTAAAGCGGGCTACAAACTATCCCTGAGACTTGGTCTCTAAACCCTAATGTGAAATAGATCGCACAATCAAGCCTTGCTGCCTGATACAAGAGATCCAAGGCAAATCGAAATCTTGGCAATCCTTCCACTAACTGGCTCACCACTGGAGCTGGGACCAAACCTTGGTCCTACTCATGCACGCCCATCCTCATTCTACGAAGCAGCTATTCCCACGCTAAAGGCATAACCAAGAGTTTTCCTTCCTATAAGCTTCTTTGATTCTCCAAGACTCTCATAGATTTGAGTATGAATCCTGTGCTTTCAATAGTACGAGCCCCATACTACCTTCCACACCTGTCCATACTTTCCTCATCAATCCTCCTGAATCCTCTGAGTCACTTACTCCACCAATATACTAAATATTTTCTAAACAGCAAAATGATCCCTACCGTAGCAGCTCCTAGGCTCCCCCTAGGGTAATCTCCGACCCGTAAACTATCATAGAACATTCGGCCCATATACCACAAGCCCTGCTGACCACATCCACCCTCGTTGTCGGCTGCCTTATGCATGCAAATTATACACAGAACATGATCTAATACACTGTCGAATAACAAACTCTACCATAATACCATAGGAAATACAGTTATACAAGCTATTCTAAGGCTATAAGATCCTAACCGTATACAATTTTCAAAACATACACATTGCAGTTACAAATACCAATTATCATTCTCATTCCAGCATGACATCCAATATCCTCATGGTTACAAGCACCACATATCAGGCCAACCTATTACTGACTATTTAGAACTAGCATGCAAATCTATAAGCTCACACAACATATACATGCATCTCCCCTAGCCCTAACTAGCATGCAATTCACAGGTTCATAATCAAATCATAACATATAACAAATGTGGGTATTCTGGGGAAACTTACCCGAGCTCGACTGATTGCATGCACCACACCCTTTCTTGTCTTAGAAATTATTTACTTAAAACATTTTTCTTTTTAAAAGCTTTACAGATCCTCAGTCTGAGTTCAGACACACCTGAAAGTATGTCCGAATCCCTCAAACCAAGGCTCCGATACCAACTTGTAATGACCCAAAAATCAAAGGTAAAAATTTCATTTTTAATATGGCTAAAACATTGATACCATTTACTCTAACAATTCAAATCATCATTAAGTAAAACATTTATCAGAGTTCATCCCAAAATCATTCATTGCGGAAACCATAGGTGTGTGCACTACGACCAATCCGAGCCCTTCCTTTCCAAAACGATGATACCTTAAACCATAAACAAAACCTGTAATCACGAAGCTTAGTGAGTCATCCAGAGCATACCCACACATAATCCACACAACACATATCATATCAACTATAAAAGCCATCTCTACTGCATACCACATATCAATTGGCTATAAAAGCTACCTCTACCATATAATAAAGAACAATTAGCTACAAAGGCTACCTCTACCACATATCACATATTCATTAGCTATAAAAGCTACCTCTACCACGTATCACATATTAATTAGCTATCCAGCTATCTCTACCATTAGCCATAAAGGCTATCTCTACCCTTAGCCACAAAGGCTATCTCTACCCTTAGCCCGAAGGCTATCTCTACCGTTAGCCCCAAAGGCTATCTCTAGCATTAGCTGTAAAAGCTATCTCTACCACGTATCACTACATAAATATGCCACACAACTCTACACAAAAAGTATACCAACTATCATAAGAATGGGTCGGCCTTGGTACCTTAGACCCATTGGTATGGTGAGAAGACTCACCTCGCATTGCTGAAGATTCCTGCACGAATTCCTTTGCTACTGCCTTGCCAACTTCTCGAGCTGCCTCTACCAAACAATATACCTAATTAGCAATTGGGTCCCAAACCATAATCCTTAATCCATGCATGGGGTAAAATGACCATTCTACCCTTGGCCCAGTATGATCCAAACTTAGGCCTAATTCCTAAACAAAAGCCCAACACTAGGTAGGCTTTCCAAGCTCACTAGTGGCCCATTAATGGCCCAATTAGCCAAATTTGGCTCAAATCATCTAATGGGCTTTACGCTAAGCCCGAACATCTCCTTAGCACACATTGTCTGACTTCTGATGGCCCACTAAGGCCTAAAGAACCAAAATCCCTTGCATGGCCCAAATCGAGGCCCAAAACAGCCCAAACCTATATTTGATGAGTACGATGGGTGTACTCCTATGTACGCTAAGTGTACAAGCCAAATGGTGAGTACGCTGGGTGTACCTGCATGTACGCTCAGCGTAATCCCCCTGTTAAGTCACTTTCCCATTAAGTGCTTAATACTCTACTCTAGAAGCTACAATTACAAATCCAAGTCCTTATTGACGTCTTAAACCATAAAGTTGCTTACTTGATGGCTTTGCATGACCCACGTAAGCTCAAACTCCAAAAATGACACTTTACTTCCATGGAAATGGTCTTAACACATGCATGAACCCATTAGGACATCAAAGGTGGCTAATTTCTGCCTTATGGATTCATTTAGAACTGAGAGTAGCAACTCCAAGTCCTAGAAATTAGATTGAACCACAAAGCTTCAACCTTTTGGACCAAAATGGTCCCAAAACTCAATCTAAGAGATCTAAGGAGATAATCATCAAGTTCATGACTTTATACCTTTAAAAGATTTGTAAAGAAGCAACAATCCCATATCTGAACTTCCTGTTTTGCACCAACACCTTGCCTTGACCTTTGCTTCCTTGAAGGGTGTATCCAAAACACCAAAATGCTCACACAAAGCCTTCCAAGATCCAAGAACACTCAAAGAGGATTAGGCTTTCGTCAAAACTGTCTAAGGGTGAGAATGAGGCTGACCCTTGAGGGTATAACGTTCTTTATATAGTGTCACACCCTAAAAATTAGGGTTTAAAGACTCTGGGCGTACGTCTCCAATGCCCGCGACTCCTCATCCCTTCTACGCTGGGCGTACTTATGCTGGCCACCCTCCTTGCCATATTTCTCTATTAAGGACCAATGATTCCAATACCCTCAAAGTACTATAACTTCTTCATTCTAAGTCTGTTTCCTACGAACTTCGTATCCATGAAAAGGTGATGAGAAACCCTACGCTCCCAACTCGACACCTGAGCACTACAACCTTCCGAGTAAGACCCGAGAGCCATAAAAATCGAATCATCAGATTACGCTTATACCCTTGGTCTCCGAAGACACAATCGAACACTTCCAAAATTCGGTGTTATATTACACGTTTTTGTATACATGACTTAAGTGTTATAGGTAGCTTCTATAGCTATCAGGATATGTGATATGTGGATTGAATGTGTGGTATGCTCTGGGAATTTCATTAAGCTCTGTGCTTACATGTTTTGTTTATGGTTTCAGGTATTATCGTTTGGGAATGGAAGGACTCATATTGATCGCAGTGCACACACCTACGATTTCCACAAGGAATGATTTTGTGATAAACTCTGATAAATGATTTACTTGACTATGGTTTGAAATGTTGGAATTAAATGGTATCAATGTTTTAGTTATACAAAAAATGAAATTTTTACCATTGATTTTTGAGTCGTTACATATATTGGGTCTATTTCACCCCTGGGTCTATTTCGCCCCTGAGTGTATTTCAACTAATATGTTAGCACAAGGATGTACCAGGTCTATTTCACTTCGGGTCTATTTCACCCCCAAGTCTATTTTAATTCATACGTTAGCACAAGGATGTATCGAGTCTATTTCACCCCACATACATATAACAAACAAGCATATACGCATACAACACATATACAACACGAATCACAAAGACTACAAGCACATACAATCGGTAGTGTCTAACAGTGTAACGCCTGTGTTTCTGGGCTTGTCATTAAAAACAATGTAATAGTCTAGGTAAACTTTGTAACCCATCTTGAAATAATAAAGATGTACTATCTGAATATTATGTGTTTTATGCTTAATTGCTTAATTGTGTGTCTTAATTGAATTAACAATAAAAATAAGCATCAAAATAAAATAGTAGATAAACCCGATATCTATGGATAATGTTGTAGTAGTTGAACCGAGGTTTTCGAATATATAAAGAATGCCGAAATCCGAATTATAAGGAAGAAGTTATGACCTTTCGAAGTTTCGCGACAGAATCGGCACGAAGCTGAATGACGTAAAAGTGAAATTTACGTTAGAGCAATATTTAGTCTTAGTGATATAAACAAAATTCGTAGAGTTCGTTAAGCCAAGAGCGTTCATAAAAATAACGCCCAAATCTGACTTTCTATGAGGAAGTTATGATTTTCTGAAATTTCAACTTAGCAGTATGCAACCCGAATACTCGATTTGAGATCGAGTGATTTTTAGCCGAAAAATCTAAACGAGAATCGAAGATCTCGTTAATAGTAGTGAAACGATAAAAAGATAGGCAAAAACGGACGTCGGATGAAGAAGTTATGATTTTATAACAGAGTTTTCCTGTCCCGGCTTACTAAAAATAAATGATAAAATAAAGTCCAAATTAGCCGACGAAGTCT